GAAGCGGCGGAGATGCGAAGGAAGGTGGGAGGGTGTTAGATAGTCAAGGAAATAAAAGAGAATTAGAGGAAAATAGTTCAGACGAAGAAAGAACAATTCGTAGGAAGGTCGTGAGGGAGGAATTTAAAATAATTCTCAAGTTTAAGAGGGAGGAAAATCAGGTATACTTAAGCCCAATTATAATATCTAAAGAAATAAAAAAGAAAATAGGAGAGGTAGAAATGGTGAAGGTGTTGAGGGATGGAAACTTACTGATAATCTGCAAAACTGAAGAACAGAAAAACAAAGCATTACAAGTTGATAATATCTGCAAAAAGGTGGTGATTGAGAAACACAATGTTGGAGAAAATAAAGTACTGAAGGGAGTGATTACAGGAATACCAGTGGAGGAGGATTTGGATAAATTAAAACGAAGCATTGTCGGAGTAAAGGTGAACAGTTTAAAGAGATTAATGAGAACAGTTGATGGAGAAAGAGTGGGAAGCATGTCTATTTTAATAGAGTTCTCCGAAACAATAATGCCAAATAAAATAAAAATAGGATTTATGAGTTTCCCGGTCAGGCCTTTTATCCCCCCACCACTCAGATGCTACAAATGTCAGAGGTATGGACACATGGCAGCGGTGTGTAAAGGCAAGCAGAGGTGTCCTAAATGTGGAGAGGAGCACAGGATAGAAGAATGCAGAGAGGACAAACAAGAAAAGTGCTGTAACTGTGGGGGTCAACATAGAGCTAACTCTGGAAAATGTGAGGTGAGAAAGAGAGCGGTAGAAATACAACAAATCAAAATGACTAAAAATATTAGCTACACTGAAGCAGTCAGGAGTGTTCAGGGACAAAAGAAAGGAGAAGCAGACCAGTCAGAGAATCAAGTTCCACAACAAACCAAACTGCAAACAGAGGAAAACATCACACTGTCAGTAGAAAAACTCATTTTATTCATAGCATATGTCATCAACTGCACAGATCAGGCTAAGCACAGAACAGAGAAGATTAAAATAATAGCAAGGGGGGCAGAAAAGTTTCTGGGAGTCAAAGAGGCGTCTTGGGAAAACATAAACAAAGGGCTGGAAATAGATGGGAGACCGGTAACACTGGGCGATAAACCCAGATGTTAATACTACAATGGAATGCCAGAAGTCTTATTGCAAATGGACAAGAATTTAAGGGATATATTGAAAAATTAGAAGAAAAACCAGAAATAATATGTATACAGGAAACATGGTTAAAAGCAACATTAGAATTTGTAATTAAAGGGTATGAGAGCATCAGAAGGGATCGGCAAGAGGGAAATGGAGGAGGGTGTGCAATATTTATAAAACAAGGAACACAATATCAAATATTAAGAAAAGGAGTAGATTTAGAATATATAGTGGTGGAAATATGGGACAAAGATGGAAAATATAAAATAATAAATTTCTATAATCCTTGTAAAAATATAACAATTGAATCAATGGAAGAAATAATGGGATATTTAGAAGGAAAGGTAATCTGGTGTGGGGATTTCAATGCTCATAGTACACTCTGGGGTAAAAGTAATGATAAAAACGGTCAAAAAATTGAAGAATTGATGGAATTAAAAAACCTAGTGTGTCTTAATGATGGAAGAGGAACCAGAATCAACGTTAGAACAGGAGAAGAATCAGCAATTGATTTAACACTAGTATCAAACTCACTGGCTGTCAGTTGTGAATGGGATATTGATAAGAATACAACAAATGGAAGCGATCATTACCCAATTAAGATTAAAATACAAATAAAACCAGAAAGCAGCAAAGTAGAGGGGAATAAAAAATGTAATTTCAGCAAAGCAGAATGGAATAAATTTAAGTATATCAGTGAACAAGAATTACAAAAAATTGACATGACAGCAGATGTAAATAATATAAATTCAAATATTTGTAGGGTTATTCTAGAGGCAATAGAACATTCAGTGAAGAAAGGAGGAGGAAGGAAAGAAAGAAAAATAGTACCGTGGTGGACAAACGAATGTAATAATGCAATCAAGTCAAGAAATAAAGCCTTTAAAATACTTAAAAAGAATCCTATTTATCAACATTTAATAGATTATAAAAGAGAACAAGCGATGGTAAGGAGGATAATAAAGGAGGCAAAAAGAAACTACTGGAGAAAATTCTGTGACACTATAGGGAAAGAGACTAAACTTGATAAAATCTGGAAAGTGATTAAAAGAATGAATGGCATCAGGAAAGAATATGTATACCCAGTATTGAACACAGATAAAGGAGCGATGATTAAAGATAAAGATAAAGCTGAAATGTTAGCTGAAACCTTTAGAAAGACTCATAGTTCAAATAACATCAGTGAGGAGGAAAAGAAAGGGAGGGAAGCCACAAAACTAAAGTATAAATATTTACAACAGAGTAGTGAAGTAAATGATAATTTATTGAACGCACCATTTAAAAAAGATGAACTAAACAGAGCTCTGAGAAAAACCAAGACAACAGCACCAGGAAAAGATCAGATCTGGTATTTAATGATAGATCATCTCAGTGAACCATCCAAAGAAATCATTTTAGAGCTGTACAATAAAGTTTGGGAGGAGGGGGAACTGCCTCAGAGCTGGAAGGAGTCAGTCATCATACCCATAGCAAAACCAGGAAAAGACAACACTAAACCGGAAAATTACAGACCAATCGCGCTAACATCAAACATATGTAAGATAATGGAAAAAATGATTAATGAGAGATTAACATATTATTTAAATAGTAATGGATATATATCTAAATATCAAAGTGGGTTTCGAAAAGGGCGTAATACATATGATTCAGCTTTACGGTTAGAACATGAAATCAGAAAAGCGCAGATAAATAAAGATAGTGTGGTGGCGGTGTTCTTTGATATTGAAAAAGCATATGATATGTTGTGGGTTGAAGGGTTGTTAATTAAAATAAAGAAATTAGGTATTACAGGGAAAATGTTTAAATGGATCAAAAACTTTTTATCAAAAAGAACAATACAAGTTAGAATAGGAGAAGAATATTCTGAGAAATATGGTGTAGAAAATGGAACACCACAAGGCAGCATCATAAGTCCCTTATTGTTTTCTTTAATGATAAATGATGTTTTTGCAGAAATAGAGGAGGGAATGGGCTGTTCACTCTTTGCAGACGACGGGGCAATTTGGAAAAAAGGAAGAAATATAGAAGTCACAGTAGAAAAAATACAGAAGGCTATTAATGAAATAGAAAGATGGGCAATAAAGTGGGGGTTTAAATTTTCAGTGACAAAAACAAAGGCAATGATATTTACACGGAAAAGAATTACAGAAGTCAAAAAACTAAAACTATACAATCAAGAAATAGAACAAGTTAAGAGTATAAAGTTTTTGGGAATGTGGTTTGATGAAAAAGTAATATGGAATATTCACATTCAGAAAATTATTGATAAATGTAAAAGGGTCTTAAATATTATGAGATGTTTGGCGGGAAATGAATGGGGAGCAGACAGAACAGCATTAAAGAGAATATACACCGGGCTGATCAGGTCAACTATAGATTATGGAAGTGTAATCTATAGATCTGCAGCAAAAACACATCTGGAGAAACTTGACAATATACAACATCAAGCACTAAGAATTTGTACAGGAGCATTCAGGACCACCCCAACCGCAGCACTTAAAGTAGAGATGGGAGAGATGCCTTTAGAAATGAGAAGAACACAGCTAGCAATTCATTACTGGATCAACTTACAAGGAAATAACCCGGATCATCCAACTTTAGACATTTTAAAACCATGCTGGGAAAAAGCAAAGAGAGAAACAGGAAGCTTCGGTTGGATAATCGATCAGAAGATACAAGAAGTTCAAATAAGAAACCTAACAATAAGTCCAATAATACCGTTACCAACAATACCACCATGGATACTACCATCTGCAAAAGTAGATTTTACACTTATGGAAAAGAAAAAAGATAAAAAAATCACTTTTAACTCCTATACAGTACAGAAATATATAAATAATTATTATGGTTATGTTCAGATTTACACAGACGCATCAAAAGACACAACAGGGAAAATAGGAATAGCAATTATCATACCAGAGTTCCATAAGAAACAAGTTAAACGTATTACAAATGGATTGTCAGTATACACCGGGGAAATGTTGGCAGTGTTATTGGCGGTACAATGGATAGAAGATGTCAGACCATTAAAAACAATAGTATGTTCAGATTCAAGTTCATCACTTACAAGCTTACAGCACAGCCACTCAGACAGCAGACCAGACATTTTATTAGAAATCCAGCAAACATTATTCAGAATAATGATGATGGGTTTGGAAGTCGTATTTCTGTGGGTACCATCACACACTGGGGTTGAAGGAAATGAAGCAGCAGACAGGGAAGCAAAAAGAGCAACAAAACAACAAGTTAACTTTATAATAACTACAAGCAAATCAGAAGCAAGAAGCATGGTTAAAGAAAAACTGAAGGAAAAGTGGCAGAAAGAATGGAATGAAGAAAACAAAGGAAGATGGTATTATAAGATCCAAAGAAGAGTGGGAGAGATGAGAACAGGAGGGAGAAACAGAAGAGAAGAGAGATTAGTAACAAGACTGAGATTTGGACACACTGGACTGAACAACACATTATTCACACTACATAAACACGAAACAGGAAATTGTCAGTATTGTGGAGAGACAGAAACAATAGAGCATGTGATTTTAAGTTGTCAGAGATATGAGAGAGAAAGAAGACACATGATGGAGGAACTTAGAAAGATTAAAGAAACATTAAATATCACAAACATACTACAGAAAGAGTCAGGGAGTAAAAGTGTAAACATTTTGATAAGGTTCTTCATTAAAACAAAGCTGATCAATAGGATATGATTAGGACAGACAACACATACACAAGTAAATAGAATTTATTTATTTTATTTATTTATTTATTTTAAAAAGCATTCTGACCCACACTCCATACCAGTCGGTGGCGGTAATGCACACCATAAGTTGTTTGCCAACCGCCAATAAAACTGAAGAAGAAGAAGAAGAAGGAGAAGAAGAAGAAGAAACGTCAACATCACAGGCTAACAATCATGCCAGCTGACGATGATGTGAGTTTGTTGTCCGTATTAAAACACCACAACTTGCCCTATTTGAAACAAATACCTTCCTCAACAAATTGTAAAATAATTTATGATAAGAAAAATGACAAATTCCTCCTTCCGCAGCCTGAGTCCGAAGTGTTTGAGATTACTGATTTTACCACCGCTTCTGAATGGGAACGGTAAGCTAACCATTCAAAAACTGTTTAATTTCACAAATTACCAGGTAGTTATTTAACATGTTGCTGTCGTTATTAAGCTGCATGAGTCTTTGAAGTATGCTGTTGTCATGATGTTGAGATGCCTCCATTCACTCATTTGGGTTTTTATCGCCTCCAACAAGTTTCAGCCTGTGAGAACTTGGCTCTCAAAACATGCCAAACCAGCCATAAGATTATGACCAGCGGCTCCTGGCTGTGGCTGCGATATACAGTCATGGAAAATGTGTTTTTTGTGTTGTAAAGAAGACTATGACATAAAATATTGAAACTTAGGCCAACTTTAATGTAACATGTAAAAAAACACATGGAACTATAATTCGGTTTGATGAAACTAAACTTTAATCTTTGAGGCACAATTAAAAGTTATGAGTGGCTCAGAAACTGCTGTGCATCACCTAAGAACACCACCAGTGAAACATGGTAATGGCAGTATCATGATGTGTTGTTGCTTTCCTTTGGCTGCAGAGGTTAACACACTGATATTGGTGATTGATTTTAAGACTGTGTGAGACATTATTGGAAGTAATTTATTTTGGATGTACACATCTGTAATTCCTGCTTCTGAATTTCACTCTGTTCTGTTCTGTTAGGTTTGTGTCCAGAGTTGAGGAGGTGCTCACTGACTGGAGGCTGACGGAAAACTCTGTGGAAAATAGGGCTTCAAAAAAGGTCATCTTTTTTGTTTGAATTAGCGTTTTTTTATTCATATGTCTTTTACAGATTATGCCTGTTAATGTTGTTAATCATGTCATGCTATTTAAACAGGGTGAATACACTAGTGGCATTTGGGAAGAAGAGTCGAAGGATATACATTTTGCAGATTTTAAGTTCTACATCACCCACCATTTTCTGAAACAAGAATGTGAGGAGGAAGAAGTTGAGGACAAGGCTGAGGAAGGTACAGTAATGTTGGAATATGTCAGAAAATTTAATATTTTCAACAAAACTTCCACTCATTAGCTTATTTTTCTTTTTAGGCTTCATTTGTATTTGCAGCTGTATTTTCTTTAGTGCTTTTTTCTGTCCAGTTTTTTTTTTAATTCCCAAAGAATAGTTGATGTATTAGATGTTGCATGTGTTCCTCGACAGACTGATGGCTCCCTTCACATTCCCAGTAGATAATCTTCCACTATAAAGGGCTCCTGCCTCTAGGACAGGGGTTCTATACAGTCTTGAAAAGAATGGTATTTATTTGTGCCATTTTCTGGTCTGGATAACTGTAAAGAAGAAGAAAGTGTATGAAAAATATAAAAATCTAAATTTCTGAAAATAAGTTTGTCAAAAAGGAAGAATGCCCTTCTAATTATTTACAATTAGAAAGTTGAAACCCCAAGTAATTCCCAGTAATGGCATCTTAATTGCTCCCCCGGGTACTTGTATAGCTGCCCACTGCTCCGCGATGGGTTAAATGTAGAGAACTAATTTCACCATTGTATGGGAACATACAATGATGACAACACAGAGCACTTACTTACCTACATGGAAAGTATATATAAATGATGAAGAAATGAGCATTTTGTAAACCTTACTAAGTTCAAATAAATGCTAGTTATCAACTCCTTGAATCGCCACTTTATCGTGGTGGAGGAGTTTGTGCGCCTGAATGATCCTAGGAGCTATGCTGTCGGGGCAATTGCCCCTGGTAGGGTCTCCCAAGGCAGATTGGTCGTAGGTGACGGGCCAGACAAAGAGTGATTCACAAGACTTGTATGGACAGGAAAAAACAAGAAACTCAGTGTCCCTTGCCCAGACAGGGGTTACCGGTACCGGGGCCCCACCCTGGAGTCAGGCCTGGGGGAGGGGCTCGTCAGCGAGCACCTGGTGACCGGGTCTCTACCCACGGGGCCCGGTCGGGCTCAGCCCGAAGGAGCAGCATGCGTTTGCCTTCCTTTGGACCCACCACCTGCAGGAAGGGCCATAAAAGTCAGGTGCGTGATGCCATGGGCAGTGGCCGAAGGTGGGGACCTTGGCGCTCTGACCCTGGCTTACCAAAGCTGGCTCTTGGGACATGGAATGTGACCTCTCTGGCAGGGAAGGAGACTGAGCTTGTGTGCAAGGTTGAGAGGCACCGATTAGATATAGTTGGGCTCACCTGGACGCACAGCATGGGCTCTGGAACCGATCTTGAGAGGGGCTGGACCTTATTCCACTCTGGAATTGCCCATGGTGAGAGGCATCGAGCTGGTGTGGGTCTACTTGTATCTCCCTGACTTGGTGCCTGTGTGTTGGAGTTTTCCCCGGTAGATGAGAGGGTGGATTCCCTTTGCCTTCGGGTGGGGGGACAAGCTCTGACTGTTGTTTTTGCCTATGCGCTGAACTGCAGTTCAGAGTATCCAGCCTTCTTTGAGTCCTTGGCAGGGGTGCTGGAAGGTGTGCCAGCTGGGGACTCCTCTATTCTGCTGGGGGACTTCAATGCCCACGTGGGTAATGACAGTGTGACCTGGAGGGGCGTGATTGGGAGGAACGGCCTTTCTAATCTGAACCTGAGCGGTGTTCTGTTGTTGGACTTCTGTGCAAGTCATAGTTTGTCCATCTTGAACACCATATTCAAACATAAGGGTGTCCATAAGTGCACTTGGCACCAGGACGCCCTAGGTTGTTGATCGATGATTGACTTCACAGTTGTGTAATCTGATTTGCGGCCGTTTGTTTTGGACACTTAGTTGAAGAGAGGAGCTGAGCTGTCAACTGATCACCACCTGGTAGTGAATTGGATCAGATGATGGGGGAAGATGCTGGACAGACCCGGTAGACTCAAATGTGTAGTGAGGGTTTGCTGGGAACGCCTGGCAGAAGAACTTGTCAGAAAGATCTTCAACTCACACCTCCGGGAGAGCTTTAACCACATCCCAGCTGAGGTGAGGGATATTGAGTCTGAGTGGGCCATGTTCTGCGCATTGCTTGTTGAGGTGGCTGCCTTGAGCTGTGGCCGCAAGGTTGTCGGTGCTTCTTGCGGTGGCCATCCACAAACTCAGTGGTGGACACCCTGGGTCATGAAAGCTGTCAAGCTGAAGGAGTCCTATCAGGCCTTGTTGGCCAGTGGGACGCCGGCGGCATCTGAGGAGTACTGGGGGGGGGACCCACCGCTCCACAGCGGCTGTTGCTGAGGCAGAAGCTCGGATGTGGGAGGAGTTTGGTGAGACCCTGGATAGAGACACTTTGTCGGCTCCGAGGAGATTTTGGCAAACCATCAGACGGCTGAGGAGGGGAAAGCAGCTCTTTACTAACACTATGTTCAGTGAATGTGGGGTGCTGTTGACTTCAACCAGTTATGTTGGTGGGAGGTGGAAGGAATACTTCTCGGACCTTCTCAATCCCGCCAGCACGTCTTCCATGGAGGAAGCTGAGTCAAGGAACTTTGGGGTTATCCGTCCATAACCGTGGCTGAGGTCACCGAGGTAGTTAAAAATCTCAGAGGCAGCAGGGCTCCGGGAGTGCATAAGATTCACCCTGATTTCCTTAAGGCTTTGCATGTTGTGGTGCTGTCTTGGTTGACACGCCTCTGTAACGTCTCGTGGACATCGGGGGCAGTGCCACTGGACTGGCAGACTGGGGTGGTGGTTTCTGTTTTCAAAAAGGGGGACCGGAGTGTGTGCTACAATTATAGGGGCATCACTTTCCTTAGCCTCCCTGGTAAGATTTGTTCAGGAGTATTGGAGAAACGAGTTGGATCGTTGGTCGAGCCTCAGATCCAGGAGGAACAATGCGGGTTCCATCCTGGCCGTGGAACCCTGGATCAGCTCTTTACCTTCACTAGGGTCCTCGATGGAAGTTTGTCCATTCAGTCTACATGCGCTTTGTGGTCTTGGAGAAGGCATTCAACCGTGTTCCTCGAAGTACACTGTGGGGGGTGCTCCATGAGTATGGGATTGGGGGCTTGTTTCTACGGGCTGTTTTGGCCCTATACAAGTGGTGCGAGAGTTTGGTTCGCATTGCCGGTAGTAAGTCGGACCCCTTCAGGGTGGGAGTTGGACTCCATCAGGGCCTCCCGTTGTCACCGATTCTGTTCATAACTTTTATGGACAGAATTTCTTGGTGCAGCCAGTGGGCAGATGGTTTCTGGTTCGGTGACCTCAGGATTCCATCTCTGCTCTTTGCAGATGATGTGGTCCTGTTAGCGTCATTGTGCTGTGATCTTCAGCTCTCACTGGAGCAGTTCGCAGCTGAGTGTGAAGCGGCTGGGATGAGAATCAGCACCTCCAAATCTGAGGCCATGGTCCTCAACTGGAAAAGGGTGGGTTGCTCTCTTCAGGTCGAGGGTGAGGTTCTGCCTCAAGTGGAGGAGTTCAAGTATCTTGGGGTTTTGTTCGTGAGGGAAGAATGGAGCGTGAGATTGCCAGTCGGATTGGTGCAGCATCTGCAGTATTGTGGACTCTGTACCGGTCTATTGTGGTGAAGTGAGAGCTGGGCTGTAAGGCAAAGCTCTCTGTTTTCTGGTCGGTCTACCTTCCTACCCTCACCTGTGGTTACGAGCTCTGGGTAGTGACCGAAAGAATGAGTGTATCGAAAGTACTAAAAATTGAGGTTAAGTCAGGAGTTGACCAGAAGCTGTAGTAAAAAATATTTAAGATTAATGTGTAATACTCTGAATGTTCTCAGTTTAAATATAAATATGAAATAATTAATTAAGCAGAATAAATTATTGAGTTGAGTTGATTAAATATTAATAAAATAGTTTCTTTTTTTTTCCCCTTAGCACATTATACACTGCCTGGCCCCAAAAAAAGTTGCCACCAAAAAAAAAGGTCTCTCACTAATATTTCGATGGACCACCTTTAGCTTTGATCACATCATGTATTCACTGTGGCACAGTTTCAATAAACTTCTTCAATGTCACAAGATCTATTTCATCCAGTGTTGCATTAATTTTTCACCAAGATCTTTCATTGATGACTAGACTACCAGGCGTGATGGTGCATCACTTCACCTGCCTCTCTTCTTACCCTGATGCACCATCACTCTGGAACAGGGTCCATCTGGACTCGTCAGACCACATGACCTTCTTCCATTGCTCCAGAGTCCAATCTTTATGCTCCCTAGCAAATTGAAGCCTTGTTTCCACTTAGCCTCACTGATTTGTGGTTTTACACAGCTGTTCAGTCCCAATCCCTTGAGTTCTCTTCACATTGTACATGTGGAAATGTTCTTACTTTCTCTATTAAACACAGCCCTGAGCGCTACTGTTGTTTTTCTTCCATTTGATTTCACCAAATGTTTAAGTGTTCTGTTTTTTCCTGTTTTTAGTTTTCTACATTCGCCTTATAATCTAGCTGTTTTTTGTTACCTTTTTTTAGCCATCTTATTTGTAAAAAACAAACAAACAAAAAAATCTGTATGCCTTTTTATAACTGTCTATTGTTGTCGTTGTTGTCCATTGTTGTCATCACTCTTTGTTGAAATCAGGTCTCTCTTGTAAATGAGTCCTCGAGGCTCAATGGGATTAACCTGTCTAAATAAAGGTTGAATGAAAGTGAGCACTGATCACGATCATTCAGGATTTTTTCCGGCTACATTTCTTCCTGGAAGACGATGGGTCCCCACTATCCTTCCAGTTTTTAATAATGCGTTGGACAGTTCTTAACCCAGTTTTATTAGTTTCTTCAATCTCTTAGAAGTTTTCTCTGCTTGATGCCAATGATTTGACCCTTCTCAAACAGACGGACATCTTTTCCACGACCACGCCATGTGTCTTTAGACATGGTTGTTTAAGAAATGAGAAGCAACTCATTGCACCAGTTGGGGTTAAATAGCTTGTTGCAGCTGAAACATAATAGTCCATGCAGTAATTATCCAACAGGAGGCTCGGACCTGTTTGATTAGTGAAATCCAGGTGGTGACTTTCTTTTGGCCAGGCAGTGTATTAACATCTAGTCTCTCTCACATGTTTCTTGTGTTTACATTAAATAAATGTATAACTTGTCTGTACCTGCACAAATCTTTGACACAAAGTTTGTTTTTGCATCCAGATACGTTACCCTCAGCTATGCAGGATCTTCTGTACATGCACAATGATTTCCCCCCTCGAGCCCACTGCCTTGTCCGGTGGTGAGTTTAGTATCACTCATGTCTGTGAGTGCCTATTTCTTGGTTGCGTTAGTAAAATATCTCATGGACCAATGAACAGATTTTAATAAAACTTAAATAGTTATCATTTTATGTACGTCTGCACCACATCAACTTCTGGACTCAACCCAATTCAACAGCTAGTGCCAAGTTTTAACCTAAGCTCTTGTGCAATGAGAAGCACTTAGAGTGGGGAAATGACTCTGAGCTGCTACCACACCACATGAGATATTTTGCTAACAGATAGGGTCAAATACACATCTGCCTTTTCTGTGGTGGGCAGTAATGCCGCTCAGTCACAGCACTGTCTGTGTGTGTAGTTACAGTTTGACATGTTTACATGTTGTGAGAAATAAACGTTCTGTGGGTTTTCTTGTGAATGTTCTGATGAAATAGTGTTTGTGATGACAGGTACGGCCTGCGAGAGTTTGTGGTCATCACCCCAGGAACAAACTGTGAAGCCGTCATCAGTGAGTCCAAATGCAATTTGCTGCTCAGTTCCATCTCCATCTCTCTGGCTAACAGTGGTTGGTGAGTGACTCTATCCAAAAATAAACAGACGGATACTTTTATTAAAACCTTTATTATAGATTGATCGATATAGATAGCTGTCGACGGGCGTATAATGTTGCGTCTTGTTCTGTCAGAGGCGGAGCCTCCTTGGTTTTCTTACACGGAGCTCAATATGATTCAAATTGTGACTGATGGTATGATCAGAAAGTGACATTTGAATCATTTTGTTTGGCTCCTTGGCTCTATTTTTTACCATCAGCACTGTCCATCTGATCAACCTGGGGTCGCAGTTCCTCTTGCGTTCTGTGAAGTTGGCCACGATTCCATGATCTTTCTCCTTTTTAATAATATCATCAGCTGTAGTCAGAGGAAAATGAAGTTGGTTGAAGGTGGTTTACCTTCATCCATCCATTATTTTTGCCCACTTCCTTTTCGAATTACGGGGTCATGGTGCCCATGTCCAGCCAGCACTGTGAGAGGCGGGGGACACCCTGGACAGGTCTCCAGTCCATCACAGGGACACAGAGACAAATGAGACAAACATCCATTCACTCTCTCTCTCTCACCTAGAGACAATTTAGAGTTACCAGTCAGTCTAACATGCATGTTTTTGGTCTGTGGGAGGAAACTGGAGTACCCAGAGAAAACCCACGCATGCACGGAGAGAACATGCAAACTGCACCCAGAAAGGCCCCTGGCCAGGATTTGAACCGGGGACCTGCTTGCTGAGAGGCAGCAGCTCTACCGACTGATCCACCGAGTCTTTACCGTCGACATGAAAATGTAATCTTCTCTCTGAGCTCCTCAGACAGCTCTTTACTGTCTGCTCCATGTTCAGTGTGGTGAACACAAACCAAACTAGCCAGTAGCCGTTTGTCTTCCAGGATTAATGTCTGATGAAAGTTTAACGACTCCTGTGATATGAATTAAACATGTAGCTTGAAACGGTGAGAAAACAAAACTCAAAATAAATTAGTCCTCCTTGCACGCTCACTCCATTTGTGAGGACCGCCTGCTCTTGGTATATTTGCACATGTCCCGTATTCTTTCCATTTCTTACTGATGGATTTACCAGAACTCCTGGAACCTCCTTTAGGACTTTGGAAATCCTTCTTGTACTTTTCAATTATCTTCTCTTTCAGTTGAATCTCTACAGTCATTTTAAAGAGGGTGAGTATTTGTAGTCACTTATTTTTCATTACATATATTTATGTATTATCACCGGTATTTATTTTTAGAAATTTCATTCAGTTCAGTTTATTTATATAGCGCCAAGTCACAACAGAAGTCAAGAAACATTCACATACGTTATAACTGCCAATTAGTAAAGTTATGTATCTAATGAAGGAGGCCAGCAGACTGTGTTGTCTTCACTTCGTCACAGTCTCCCATCCTGAGCAAGCACAAAGACGACAGTGGAAAGGAAAAACTCCCTCATAATAGAAGAAACCTCCAGCAGAACCAGGCTCAGGACAGGAGGCCATCTGCTTCAACCGGCTGCTTTGAGAGGACAGGAAGGAGAGACACAGAACGGAGGCGAGCAGGTCCTCACTAGGAGGGAAGATAAAAACATGTTAAGATAGAAACAATTACAAATACAAATTATTCATTTGTAACTATTCATTTGATGAAAGGAGGTTAATTTATCCTCCTTTAGTCTCAGCCTATAGCAGCATAACTAAAGGATAGGTCAGGAGACCAAGCCAATTATAGGATTGATCAAAAATTAAAGTCTTAATCCCAGTCTTAAAACTGGACAATGTGTCAGCCTCACGGACAGAAACTGGAAGTTGGTTCCACAAGAGAGGAGCCTGAGAACTGAACGATCTGCCTCCCTTTCTGCTTTTGGAATCTCTAGGAACCACAAGTAAACCTGCAGTCTGAGAGTGAAGTGCTCTGTTAGGATATAAATATAAATGTTTCACTTTATATTAGAAGTTTTTTTATTGTAAAAAAAGACCCGTTCATGATCAATTTAAAGCAGCAATAAAAACGTAGGTGAAACATGATGCTCCCACCACCGTGCTGGACAGTTGGTACAGTGTTCGCATGTCTGAAAGCCTCACTGTGACTGTTCCAAACACACCTCTTTTCAGTGTGGCCAAACCACTCAGTTTCTGTCACGTCTAACCATAAAACCTTTCTCCAGAGGGCGTTCGGCTTGTTTGTGTAAGTAGTTTCAGATTTCAGTTAAGCTTCAAGGAGTTGCTTTTGTCCTGGTCGGCGCTGTCTCAGTCCACGTTGATGTAAACTGTCTTCAGCGATGGGGACGCTTGTTCCAACAGTTTTCAGTTCCTGGCAGGCCTTAATGGTTCCTGGGTTGATCCTGAACATTTGAACCAATTTGTTTTTGTCTGAAAGGGTCCAGTAAGTATCCGTCAATACTCTGAGAGCTGACAAACAACTACCAGCTGCAGTCAATCATAATCACTAATGAGGCATTAACTTTCTGCATGACTCATTCAAATTATTAGGTGAATGTACTGTATTTTGACCAAGTACGGTTTGAGGAAAGTTAAAAAGAAAAATCTTGAGTTTCACGCTCTCGATGAGTAAATGTAAACTTGTGCTGCATCTGTCTCCTGCTCTAATGCTAAAGTTAACATCAAAGTTTTTGTAGTAATACCTGCCTCCTTTTTACGTTCTGTTTTCAGTCAGGTTCCGATGTTTGTGCAGATCCAGCAGAAGTGGAGACGGATTTACGCTGGAGAGTGTCAAGGACCAGGTGTGCGCACAAACTTTGAAATTGTCCAACTGCGGAAGGCATCGAGCCAGTACAACCACCTGTCTGGCCTTCTGGACATCTTCAAGTCCAAGATAGTAAGTGCTGTGGAGCAAAATACTCCAATTAGATGATGGAGAAATCCTTGAAGTTCCTCACCTTCTTTCCATTCGAGTCCACATTGACAGATGGGAGCACCCTGTGAGTAAACTGAGTTGACATCATTTCAAACAGTGCATCATCAGGCTGTTCACATGCCGGCTGTCCGGCTCAGGTTTACCTCCACTATAATCTGAGCAGGGCTTAATTTGTAAATCAAACAATGCCAGAACACAAATAGTGGGTGGAGGTGGGGGAGGGGGGTCTGGGGGTCCTCCCACAGAGAATTTTGAATAAAGTAGATGCCATTTCCTGAATTCTGGTGTATTTTACAAAGGATTATTACAGTAGATTAACATGAAACAAAAGAAGTAAACTGTATTATTGAAATCCTTCTGACTGCAAAGTGTTCATAATTCAACACCGCTGCAGCTCTGCAGTATTTTTATTTATTTATTATTTATTAACCTTTATTTAACCAGGCAAATCCCATTGAGATCACAGATCTCTTTTGCAAGGGAGGCCTGGGCCTGAAGGCAGATTAACATGCATGTTTTTAGTCTGTGGGAGGAAACCGGAGAACCCAAAAACCCACGCAAGCACGAGAAGAACATACAAACGCCACACAGAAAGACCCCAGGTCCAACCGGGAATTGAACCCAGGATCTTCTTGCTGTGAGGCAACAGTGCTAACCACTGAGCCATTGTGCTGCCAGTAAGGGCCGTTCACTTCAGGACAAATTGAGGTTGCTGATTGGTCAGTTGCTGACGTGCTGGATTGATTGACAGGTGGGTCGAGGAACTGACTACTGCAAAAAAAAAAAAAAAATCAGATTTTACTGGCCCTTTTAAGACTGTCGTCATTTATTCCATATTAATTCAATATTTGTTCAATATTTGTTCAATATTTTGTGGGGACAGTCTATGTTGAAGCGCAGACGGAGCAACTCAACGTCAGTCTGTCCACAGAGTACACCTGCGTCCTCAGACCGTACTGTGGATGAAACACTTGCAGCTCCTCAATAAAATGATCAGAGGGCTGTTGTCAGGCAGGTGCCCACCGTGGGACAACAAGTGCAGCTGTTTTTGGCCACACTTGGAAGAAACTGCCTAATATTTAGCTCTTTGTCACAGACTTAGAAAAGAGTTGCTGTCGATCCTGCTCGGTTCAGAAAAGCGTCCTGGTCGCTCCGACGTGGCTTCAGATACTCTGACTGCACGACAAAGAGCTTCATGAGCCGAGATCTTCGTCTCTTTGTTGCAGTTCAGTGAAAGTTCAGATAACTCCTGCAGTGATTCACACATCGGATTGTTCACAGAAGCACAGGAACTTATGTGCAGCACAAACTTTATATTTCTGTGTTTTAATAAAAGTGCCCATGACTTTGAACTTTTAGCTGCAGAGATGTTTTAAGAGCAGAAGTGGAAATGTGAAGGAACAGCTCTGATGTGATGTTAGGAAGCTTATGTTTAAAATGAGTCTTTATGTAATTATTTTCAGATTACATATCCAGTATAGGTTTTATTTGTTCAAGGTAGTCTTATATGTTCATAACTTTATTATTATTAGACCTGAGAGTGACTGGATCTAAGCAAACAGTTACTGGAACGCACCTTGTGGAGTTCTCAGAACCTGTTCCTGCAGGATCTGGCTCAAATTAAACTCTGCATCTGATCATTCGTCCCCGATTTAATGAGACACCTCCTCCAGCCGTTAAACCTTTCCTCCATGACGAAGATAAACCCCTCCTCCTCTGTTCATCATCACTTTTTGTCATGTCTGGCTGAACAGTAGGGAGTGGACCCACTCTCTGTGCAGCATGTGGTCAAATCGCTATGGAAACAAGATTTGTCGAGATCTCAAAGTCGGAGTCGCAACAACGTCTGAACATTAACTCTACCTCCAGTTTCTTTAGGACTTGGGTTGGAGTTCGACTGACGTGAAACTTGAGACAGATGAAATAAAAACTAATGAGTGAACGCTGACGTACACCGGCTTCTTGTTTTTACCACGCAGCATTATTTTCTGCACTGACCCTGGTTTAAATAAATCTAAATTTTATCTGCATGTGTTTTCCTCCTCCTCCTTAGGGCTGCAACCTGCTCCCTCTGCCACCAGTTGACATTGCCATTCGCTTCACCTATATTCTTCAAGACTGGCAGCAGCATACGTGGCCCCAGCAGCCTCCTGGTAAGCACATGAAATAAGTTTGATCCTTTTAATTAGTTTTTACTGCAAGGCTGCCACAGTGCGGTGTGCCTGAATTGCTATCAAAACAAAATATGTTTTCTTATGAGCTGGGGGCGTTGTTTTATTGATTAATTTTTGTAGACTTTGACACTGTCCTTGGAGGTGAGGTGGGAGGAGTGGAGTTTGGAAATCTTCCATTTGGAGCCTGTGAGGAGCCAATCAGGTAAGAACACTGCCACGTTTCTTCCATTTTGAAGTTAACATGCAAACATAGAGCTTTTCTACTCCAACTTCTACTTAAAAAAGTAGGATTTTATCAATTTAGTGAAAAAATATGTTTTTATCAATTCTAAAAATTCATTACAGTAGTCCCTCGCTACTTCGTGGTTTGACTTTCGAGGATTCGCTCTTTCGTGGTTTTTCAACATAAGATTGTACACGACACACAATCATCAACTTTAATACTACTCATGTAAATGGTAAATGGACTGTACTTATACAGCTCCTTTCTATCTTATCGCAATACTCAAAGCTCTTTACAACAATCTGTGCCTCATTTACCCGTTCATACAGCTCTATACTAGATCTCTACAAAGATAATTGAACAAATCATTCTAAAGAGACTAATCAGAGCTTTATCACATTCATACATTGATGGGACACACATCAGAGGCTATGAGGGGTTCAGTGTCTTGCCCAGGGACCTTCAGCATGTGACTGCTGGTGGATTCGAAACCCCAACTCTTGCACTGGAAGACGACTGCTCTAACCACTCAGCCACAGCCGCCCTAATTGTGATTGGGACGGTACAGATAAAAAGTTAACGGAAAAAAAAAATGCTTCAGACAGGCGCCACCATTTTGTAGTTTTCTTTCAATAAGCCTATACTGTAATGCAAGTCATGCACACATGAACCTGGACAGGGTGGCGGACCTCGTCATGCTACTGTGTAGCCGAATCAGAACCAATCCTGACCAGAACTGAGCCTGCAGCTGCAGAGCTGGTGATTACCCATATAAAATTTTGTTGTACTGTACAGTACATATACTTATGTTGTTAAAATTACATAGGTTTAAGTGTGTACAACATTGCAAGAGTGTGGAAAGGGTTTATAAAGTCTTAAAATATATATAAATACAAACTGGATTCCAAAAAAGTTGGGACACTAAACAAATTGTGAATAAAAACTGAATGCAATGATGTGGAGGTGCCAACATCTAATATTTTATTCAGAATAGAACACAAATCACAGATCAAAAGTTTAAACTGAGAGAATGTATCATTTTAAGGGAAAAATCTGTTGTTTCCAAATTTCATGGCGTCAACAAATCCCAAAAAAGTTGAAACAAGTCCATTTTTACCACTGTGTGGCATCCCCCCTTCTTCTTACAACACTCAACAGACGTCTGGGGACAGAGGAGACCAGTTTCTCAAGTTTAGAAATAGGAATGCTCTCCCATTCATGTCTAATACAGGCCTCTAACTGTTCAATCGCCTTGGGCCTTCTTTGTCGCACCTACCTCTTTATGATGCGCCAAATGTTCTCTATAGGTGAAAGATCTGGACTGCAGGCTGGCCATTTCAGTACCCGGATCCTTCTCCTACGTAGCCATGATGTTGTGATTGCTGCAGAATGTGGTCTGGCATTATCGTGTTGAAAAATGCAGGATCTTCCCTGAAAGAGATGACGTCTAGATGGGAGCATATGTTGTTCTAGAACCTGAACATAGTTCTCTGCATTAATGGTGCCTTTCCAGACATGCAAGCTGCCCATGCCACAAGCGCTCATGCAGCCCCATGCCATCAGTGATGCAGGCTTCTGAACAGAGCGTTGATAACAACTTGGGTTATCCTTGTCCTCTCTGGTCCGGATGACATGGCGTCCCAGTGTTCCATAAAGAACTTCAAATCGTGACTCATCTGACCACAGAACAGTCTTCCATTTTGCCACACTCCATTTTAAATGACCCCTGGCCCAGTGCAAACATCTGAGCTTGTGGAGCTTGCTTAGAAATGACTTCCTGTTTGCACTGTAGAGTTTCAGCTGGCAACGGTGGATGGCATGGTACAATGCTTTCTGGAAGTATTCCTGAGCCCATTCTGTTATTTCCTTGACAGTGGCATTCCTGTTTGAGGTGCAGTGACGTTTAAGGGCCCGGAGATCACAAGCATCCAGTAGAGTTTTACGGCCTTGACCCTTACGCACAGCGATTGTTCCAGATTCTCTGAATCTTTTGATGATGTTATGCATGGTTGATGATGATAACTTAAAAGTCTTTGCTATTTTACACTGGGTAACACCATTCTGGTATTGTTGCACTATCTTTCTGCTCAACAATGGTGGAATTGATGATTTTCTTACCATCTTGGCTTCTGAGAGACACTGGCACTCTGAGAAGCTCTTTTTATACCCAATCATGTTGTCAATTGACCTAATTAGTGTTAATTGGTCTTCCAGCTGTTCGTTATATAGGGTTATAAGGGCTAAGTTTTAGCTGCCCTTGACTACAATATATTTTAAATAACGGGTTCTCTCTTTTTCGATTTAAATTATAGCCATGTGACCGAGGTAACTGTGCATAGGTTGTTTAATCAGTGACATGAGACGTTAATTTTCTTTGACCCATCAGAATAAATGTGGTCATTTATTGAACAGAATCAAAATTTAACATCAAAACATTGTACACTTGATTAGCTGATCTGGTTCTGATTAATAAAACTTGGCACGTTTTATTTAATAAAAACAACAGACATTTCTGAAGGCCTCTAGATTAATTACTGGCAAAATAGAAGAGTTTAAAGATGGGAAATGGAGGAGTTTAAATGAAGAGAAAAGATGGATGAGGCAAAGTGTGTTGACTAGGAATGGCACCCTTCATCCGACCCCAGCTCAGCCCCGGTACACTAAGTGCGTCACGACTCGTTACCTTCGCAGTAGATAAATCAGCTCCGGTGTCGGGTCCATTTCAACGCTACCTTTCAGCGTCTCCGGTAAGGACGGCTGAGAATCGTCCGAAGTAGTGACGGTACTCCGTTCAACAAACACGCTCATCTCCCGGTTGGATACACAGCAAGCTGTGAGTCCGTAAGAGGTTCCACTCAGATGTGGAAGGATCCATCACAGGCTTCGATGACTAAGTTCAAGACTAGACTTCATCAGAGACCTGCTTGAGGAGCTCAGGAGACTTGACAGACTGACTGACAGACCCAGTTGCCCCGATTGACCTGAGAAGTTCCAGGAAGTGTGGACTCTTAAAGAGTTCTCACTTCCGGTCACCTCAGGACTTCCTGATTGGTTGAAGCAACCAACTGGGGGTGGTTCTAGTGATGTCAAAGGGTCATTACAAGTCAAGAAAACAGCAGGAATGTTTTAGAAACATCCCGTACAGACAGAAGACATGTTATGGCGAAGTGGGAGGAAGAGAGGCCAGTAGCTTCTTGTTTACCGTCTGCTAGGTTTAAAAACACGACACTTCGTTCTAATAACTTCTTTCTGACTTTCAACCGACATCACTACTTCTCATTTAGACAGAAGATCAAAAATGCATAATTACTTTGTAAAATAGACATTTAACTTGATTTCTAATTTAAATGAGGATTAAAAAATCATTAATACTGTTTCACAGTTGATTTAAAATGAGTGGTTCACTTCAACATTTAGAAATGGTATGAACTAAACACACTTTTGATTTATCAAGATATTGTAAAATAGTGATGATAATATAAAAGAAGAGTGTTCTTTCAATTGATTACTTCAGGATACAATTAGAAAGTCTCTGGATGAGCTAATTTATATTTCTGGATTCAAATCAATGAAATAACAGTTCCTGTCCCATGAAGGTCCTCAGAGGTAGGTTTTGGTCGGAGGCCGAGTTCACTACAGTTATGTGCTCAATTTCCTTTTTCCAGCCACTTATTGCTACTTGTCCCAACTTTTTTGGGATTTGTTGACACTGTGAAATTTTGAATCAACATATTTTTCCTTTAAAATGTTACATTCACTCAGATTAAACTTTTGATCTGTCATCTATGTTATATTACGAATAAAATATTGACATTTGCCATCTCCACATCATTGCATTCAGTTTTTATTCACAATTTGTTTAGTGTCCCAACTTTTTTGGAATCCGGTTTGTACAACACCGGTTCGCAACGAGCTCCAAACAGTCAGGAAATTGATTAATTTTCTGTTTCTTTATGGTAGTTGAACCGGAAGATTCATCTTTAGTGAAATATTTCAATACTATTGATGCATTTCTACCTGTTTGTCAAGACTGGGCCTGCTCCGCTCCATCTGTCTGCTTGGAGGAATCCATTTTGGAACCCTAACCTGGTGCGGATCACGTGACACATGACGCAATGACGTAACAGCGATGTAATGACGTCACCACGAATACTCGACGTGAAATTAAAAAACTCGATAGATGTCCTAGGAATCGATGTGTAGATTACTCGAGTAGTCTGTTAAAGTCCTAGTTCCGAGAGAGCGGACAGGTAGGTTTGTGAGCGGAGATTTTATCCAAGCAGAGAGAAGTTTTGAGCGCGAGTAGGAAAACACAAAATTTTGAGAGAGAACAGAAGTTCTGAGTCCAAGTATTACAAGTTTTGAGAACAAAGAGATGAATTCCTGCTTTCAAACACAAAATGTGCGCTCTCCGTTAACGGCATGATAATTCCCCCATACATATGCATTTACATGTGTGTATGAACAAATTATATATATTTTTTTAACCTTTATTTTACCAGGTTAAAAAAACCCATTGAGATTAAAAACCTCTTTTTCAAGGTACAAGACCTGGCCAAGAGGCAGCAACAATTACACAAAATATATGTAAAACTTTTGCATTGTAGAGCATACACATATAATCCTTAACTTTACGCATGATTGTTTTTTTTTTTTTTCTGTCACTAAACTGTCAGATAAAATAATTATTATTTTTGCAATTTGTAAGTACAAATTAAAAAGTCAAGACACATGAATATGCCACTGTAGATCATGATTGTTGTGGTTTTTATGTCAACAATGTCCCATTTTTTTAAATGTACGGCTGAGACATGATCATTTATGTGTTGCTGTATTTCTATGGTCTTTTGTGGATCCATTTCTACTGTTTATTTGTTTTATACTGCAGAAGTTATTTAGTAAAATAAAGCATTATGTCTCCTTTTTTATCTTTTGAAGTGAACTTCATCTGGCAACCACCTGGCCTCACCTCACAGAGGGCACAGTCTTAGATAATGATGTCTACAGGTAAGGATGTAATTTCATAAATGCTTAACAAATGTCTCATTTGTTGTAGAAACAAATAAAACCTGAAAATAATCACGAATAAGTAGAGAATGTGAAGCACCGTTAAGAGTGTTAATGCACACAAGAGCTGGAGGACCCGTTTATAAAGACTGCTGTACCCCTATCAGTGTCTACTTTAATCACTTGTTTATTTGTTCCACCTGCCACCTGCAGAAAGCAAAAGGGAGATAGTGCATTTGCGTGCGTGTGTGTGTGCGTGCGTGCGTGTGTGCGTGTGTGTGTGCGTGCGTGCGTGTGTGCACGCACATTTTTGTTTCAGGTTATCTTGTAGGAACCAGTTTTCCAAAAACTCATGCATTGTGGGAACCAACTGCTCTTTATGGAGACCAAAGCCAGGTCCCCATAAGGAGAAGTCTCGTTGGGGGGTTAAGGTTAGGACTTAGTTGTGAACTGTGGATGTGTTAGGGTTAGGCATGTACTAGTAATGGTTAGGTTTAGGGTAAGGGTCAGGGTCCATCACCCTTTGGAGCACAAGTTAGGAGTCATCAGGACTCTGTACCACAGAGCAGACAGCGTCCCCACTAGCTCGGGAGCCAGGCAGAAGGAGAAATCCTACACAAAACAGGCTCTAGAGCAATGTGGATATCCTAACTGGGCCTTCCTGAAAGCAGAGAAGAAACCCAAACAGGACTCCAGTCAGCCAACAGGTGAAAAGGAGGAACCCAGACCCAGACCAGTGGTCATTCCGTATGTTGAGGGAGTATCAGAGAAACTGAGACGTTTATTTTCTAAACATAACGTCCCAGTGGCTTTTAAACCCCAAAATACATTACGGCAAAGACTGGTTCATCCCAAAGATCCAGTCCCCCGGCACAAACAGAGCAATGTTGTGTATGCTGTTCAGTGTCAGGAGGGCTGTGATCAGTCTTACATCGGGGAAACTAAACAGCCACTGGCCAAAAGGATGGACCAGCACAGAAGATAAACATCATCAGGCCAGGACTCTGCGGTCTACACTCATCTCCAGGCCAGCGGTCACTCTTTCAAGGATGAAGATGTTCACTTCCTGGACAGAGAGGAACGATGGTTTGAGAGAGGAGTAAAGGAGGCCATCTTTGTGAAAAGAAATCGTCCATCGTTAAACAGGGGTGGAGCCTCCGGGTTCAACTGTCCCCCTCTTACAATGCTGTGATTGCTAGTATCACTCAGCCCTCTGTGAATAGTAAACAGCCATCAGTGTGCTAATGATCCATTGTTAGGCTGATGGTCCTTCTTGAGCATGTGATCAGCTGGTTTTGGTTGTCAGCAGCAAACTGGTTGATCCACTCTGAGAAGGTGCTATTTAAGAGACTGAGCTGAATACAGCACCTCAGACTGAGGAAGTCTCTCGGATGAGAGACGAAACGTTTCTAGATTTTTTTGCTTTGTTTTGTTTTTTGTTTTTTTGAATGTCCAGAGGACCAGATTGAACTTTTTTGGATTTTTCTACCTGGATTATTGAGCATGCATCAGGGTAAGGGTCAGGGTTAGGCTGTAGAAAATGAATGGAAGTCAATGCAAAGTCCCCAAAAAGTATGTTTACAAGAACGTGCGTGCACATTTGTCTGTCAAGTTAGCAAATTATTTAATAAACCACTGGACAGATTTTCATGAAACTCTAGAAGCAGTCAATGAATGAACATCTACAACTTTTGGAACTAATACAATTCAAGATGGCAGCCACAGCTAAGTGAACTTAGCAAACGTGATCATTTTTACAGAGATTGAGCTCAAATCTGGTATGGTCGCAGCTGAGACTCATCCCATACGTAGACTCTGGGTTCTCACTTATACAAGATCTGTTTTAAAACTTTTCCACTAATTACTGGAGGCAAATTTGTCTGTTAGCAAAATGTATCATGAATTATTGGATGGATTTTAATGAAACGCTCAGGAAGTAATCTCTGAATGTACATTTACAACTGATTATTTTTGAGTCAACCCAACTCACTTCAAATCTGAATTTTTAATCCGATAGTCTTTACAGGTTTACACTCTCACTTGTTTTATGGTGTAGTGAACTAGGCTTCCTACCTCAACCTGTCTCTGAAGACCTTCATGGGACAGGAACTGTTTTTTCATTGATTTGAATCCAGAAATACAAATTAGCTCATCAAGAGACTGTTTAATTGTATCCTGAACTAATCAATTGAAAGAACACTCTTCTTTTTATATTATCATTACTATTTTACAATATCTTGATAATCAAAAGTGTGTTTAGTTCATATCATTTTTAATGTTGAAAGTAAACCACTCATTTAAATCAACTGTGAAACGGTATTATTGATTTTTAAGCCTCATTTAGACTTAGAATAAGGCCCTGTCTTTTGTTCCTAAACTCATGCAGAAAAGGCGTGCTTGTTGAGAGACGTGACGTTTAAGCTTTAAATCCGTCCATAAATGCTGATTTGAACCATGTTTGACCATTTGCTACATGTAACTAACGGCTAACAACCGGATGTCAACAGGACGGTTCACAGGAAGTCGTCAGCGACTCCTACCGGTAAAAGTAAGCTTACACCGCCACCTGCTGTTAAAAAGGAGTATAACAGTTTTCCAGAAAGAAAGCTGTGCACTCGCCTTTCATTTAAACATTTTTTTTTTTCTGTTCATCAGAGCCTGGTTTCTGTGTACTGTTTAAATAGCGAATTCTGGTAAATTAAAACTGCTGGAGAGCGTTTAAAACTACAAGTTGCTGTCAGACTTTTTAGAAAAATTGCAGGTTTATTAATTTTAAGTGCATTGGAGTACACTGAAATAGCCTGGCTCATTTTACCTGTTAAAAATAAGCATATTAAGTAACACTGCCAGCAGGAAGCATTTACTTACAATATTTTTGGGGTAAGGCTTGAACAGGGGCCCATTTATTGAAAAGTTGGCTTATAACAGTACTGTTGATGGAACCCAGAGCTAAAATAGTGTATAACACTCACTGCTCACTTAAATAAAATAGTTTACCTGTTAAAAACTCTTAAGTTTGCAACTGTTTAACCAGATAGGTTTGCTGAACAGTGGATAACCATGGCAGATTTAACAGAAGCTGATATTGATCCATGTGATAAAAAGGACTGGCTAGAGACTGCCCTAAAGAGGCTGATCACAGAATCCTTACATCCATATGGTGAACAGGTGGACAGCATGAACTCAACAGAGTTATTGGACGAGCTGAAGGAAGTTGCAGAAAGTGTGACTTCCACAGCCATAAAAAAGTCAGGCTATGAACAACTAGCTAAAATAGCACTCTTGCTGAAGGCTAAATTTTATATTGAGGCCAACAAGGCAGAAGACCTTACAATAAGGTTTAACAGTGAAACAGAGGAGTATCTAAAACTCATGGCACAGTTTAAATTTGATAAGGAAACCTGGGAAAATGAATTGAAACGTGAAGAAGAGCTCTCACAAGCTCAGCTGTCGTTACAAGCAGACTCATATGAGGGAAAGCTATGTGAAGGAGGGATTAAGTACCAAGCACTGTGTTCAGACAATGATGCTCTGCAACGACAGTTGCAGCTCACATCAAAGGCTCTGGACGAGTGCAGATTGGAAACAGTGGCGTTAGTCCAACAAGGCGTGCGTTTACAAAGTGAGTGTCATACATCACATGAATGCTTAAAAGCCTGTGAGGCAAAATTAGCCGCAGCAACAAATGAAATTTCTGACGAGGGGCAAGGATGTCTGGAACTCAAAGACGAACTGGGTCAGAGTCCAGGTCACCCACCACCTCAGAAGGATTTTGTTGTATCTCTTGCACATAATCCCCTTTTGCCACATCCATGTGAGTCTGGTGAATCACCTCCACGTGCTTATTTTGTTCCAAAAACACCAATTCCTCAGCCAGAATTGCATAAAATGGCGAAGTATGTCCAACGCTTTGAGCCGGGGCCATTGGGTTCAACCGATACTAAGGCCTATCTGAACGACCTTGACTTCCAAATAAGAAGCTATCCCAACGCTACAGTTGAGGATAAAGTGGGTCTGATCAGGCTCACTTCAGCCAGGACGGTGTTTTCCTTCATAGAGCGTCAACCTGATCCCACAAGAAAGGATTACCGCCTGTTATGTGCTGCTCTTATGAAAGAGTATACCCCTTGCGCGGGACCTAGCGGATATCCAGCCGCCGACAAGGTCATGCAAGGTAAGAATGAGCACCCCAGGGCATATTATTCCAGAATTTTGCAGGCTTATTTTGGTTACAGGAACAAAACTGGCATGGAGGAGGAAGCGTTTAAGTTCGTTTTCAGCAAAAATCTCCACCCTGATGTAAGGATGTCGGTGCAAATGATGGCTAATTTCAAAGAGAAATCCATCAGTGAGATAAAAAGTTGTGCTGTGAATGTCTTTGAGGCCCGTTCACAGGCCAAAACACCCTTTGAGGTGTTCCCAGGTGAGAGGATTCCTGCCCAGTCATTAGCATTGGAAGGAATGAGAGCTTCAGCTCCCCCTCCCAAAAAAAGGCGAGAGGAAACGAGGTTTCCCAGCAGCCAAACCATAACAGGTGAGTGCCCCCTGGCCCAGACAGGATCCTAAATGGTTTCCCAGGAAACCAGAGGATGAACGAATGTACCAGAAGGGGGGGCGCATGCCATCGGGGTAAAAAGTATGGCACCAAAGGTGACCCATACAACCAGGGATCCCACTGGGAACCCCAGAGGAGGGGACCTGCTTCCCCACCACGTCGGCCTGAACAACCTGAGATGAAAAAGAAAGGGCAGCGGATCCAGAAAGAGAGCCCCAGACCTCTGAGCTCGGACGAGACATAGAGTGTGTGTCGGTTCTTGGAAATATTGAAAGGTGTTGCCACGGACAAACAATCTGACGCTGTGTGTGGCAATATCATTGCTGATGGGTCAGAGCATACAGACAACACCGTTACTGCTGTCACAGACAGTCACCATGACATTGTTGTTGTAAACTCTGACAGGCCCTCACCAGAAAAAGGTGGGGTACAATCACACGTCACC